AAAAAAAAAAAAAAACGTGCACCGGCAAAACGTTACGCAACGCGGGAGAATTTACAATTCGGCGACAGCCGATAGACAGTGAACTGCCGATTATTAACCGCGTCGTCTGCAGATTGCTTGAACCAATGAGAATGCGGAAAAGCAACGAAGCCGGAAGATTCCGAAACACCGTTTGCAACTCGGTGAAACTAGTTGCGACGCTAGATAATCGTCTCTCTTTTTATTACTAAATGCATCCTGCCAACGTAATAGACGTTTTGTTACACGGTCGTGATTGGCAACACCTTTCTTCGGCTTTGTTCGGTTCTAAGCAGTTTAATCAAATCAATTCTTTCCTTCCCTCCCCATTTTTGTTTTTCTTTTCTTCTCTTTCCGCCAGTTTTCTCGCGTTTTGGTGAAACTCACGTTGTTACAGGGGCAAACGTCGCTTTTCGCAAACCGACGAACCAGTCGACCACCGTGCGAGGCGGAGATGCCGGCCACGGAAACGACGGAGATTCGAGCACAGAGCATGACGGGAAAAGATGCACGGAGACTCAGAGCGAGCCTAGCCCTTGGTGGAAGGTCGACCTCCTCAAGTCGTATTCGGTAAAAGTGGTCAGAGTGACGACCAGAGGTTGCTGCGGTAAATTCTTTCTTCTTGCGTATTTTTACTTTCATCGTGGAATAACGTGCACGTATATATAGAAAGTCGATTAAAATGGACGTCGCGTTTCGCGTTTTAATGAAAAATTTAAACATTCGAGCTGATTAATCGCAGCTGATACTTTCGTTCCCCAGCGAATTACACACATATATGTGAGTAACTTTCTTTCGAAGAAAGGAGAAACGATACTTTGTTTAACGATTTCGACACTGTTCGTGAGTCGAAAGTGGAAATGATTTCTCGTTGTCGACAGGCCATCAACCACTTCAGGACATTGAAATACGCGTGGGTAACAGCAGCGTGGAATTACAGCGCAACCCCCTGTGCGCTTGGTTCCCTGGCACGATTGGTAAGCAATTGGCAGTTTATCAACCCTTTGCATTCCAACTTTTGCTCAAGTATATCTCGAGTATATCTTTAATCAAATAAAGTCAATAAATATTATTAATTTAATCATTATGATTAATTTTATTTTTAGTAAGAAAAATTTTTTCTTAATAATTATATATAAATATAAATAATAATTTTATTAATTTATTTAAATTTTTAAATTTAATTAATAAATTGTAAAATTTTTTCTATCAATAATTGATATACTAAAATCAATTTTATTACAACAAACCATCCATATCTAGTAAATTATTTATTTGAAAGTAAAAGTTCTAAGTAAGTGAGAGCAAAGAATTTTATTCGAAATGCAATTTTAAATCATTCAGAAATGCTGTCTTGCCAGTTGCTAAACAGATAATTTTCATTGTGTATAATATCACTTTCTACATTGGTAGAATAACGCCAGAAACAATGCTCGAAACACTATCTAAATTATTTTTACATATCAATCAAGAACAAATTCATCTTGAAATAATTATATTTCATGAAACATGATATTTAAAAATAAGGTAAGCAAATTGATAAAAATATTAATAAAAATATTAATTATAATTAATATTTTTATCAGTCAAAATATTAATTATAATTATAATTAATTGATAAAAATATTGATAAAAATATTTGACAGGATATATAATTCTTCGATTAATTCTTCACAGAGGAAGGGATCACGAAGACATTCGTGTGCGCCAGAGCTCTGATCGGGCAGTACGTGTTTTTGCAGCTTGTCGGAGTCGAGGGGAGCTTGAGTCTATGCGAGGTGGAAGTGTTCGCCGTCGATGGTAAGTCGAAGTGCCAAAAGTGCGGACTTCTGTCGGATGGAATTTCTATAGAAGAGTTCTTCCCGTTTTTCTTTCTTCTTTTTCTTTCGTAGAATTTTCAACGGACAGATGCGCGTACAGTGGAACGCCAGCTGACGCCGACTTGGCCGCCTTCAACTCCACCTGTTACGAGTTCGTCGTGAAGAAGGGAGGTTCTTTCCAAGAGGCGAGAAATTACTGTCGCGCGAGAGGCGGCGATCTCGTGCACGGCTTTCAAGTATAATTTCCAAACATGCACGCGGTCTCTATAACTTGTAACTTGTTGTAATGCTTTGCTATTGCACAGGGTGCAGCCTCGGTGTACATATTGAACAATCTGGAGAGGCGTAAAAACAAACTGAAGACGCAGCTGGTTTGGATAGGCGCTCAAAAGGAACCACTGATAACAGCGAGGACATGGCGATGGGTCGACGGTGAATATTCCCCCTCCTCCCCTCTCAGTCGCTTCGATTCACGTTCAAGTCTTGTTTGTTCATTGACTACAGTCAAAACGGTTTTCCTTCCCTTCTCACGATTTATCGGTGAACGTTTCGTGGGAACCGGGTCGGCAGACACGGATTGGGCAACGCTGGTTAGATTCGTCGAGCCGAACCAATCAATTTACCTCGTGATTACGCGATAATTATAGTCCCTGCCGATCGGCAGGGATTGAATTCGTCAATCGAAAATTCGTCCCAGAGAAATCCTGACCATCTACGAGATCAACGATCGTCTCGACACGGCGTGTAATAACAGGCGCTAATAGATAGAACGTGAAAGTTGCGACTGTGTGGAAATCAACGGAAGTTACACCCGCGAACGTTATAATCTCCGTTAATTGTTTGTTGCGTCTGGATCGAGCAGACGAAACGTTTGCTTTGGATGTTAATAGCTGCTGCCTAGGAAGGTGAAAGACCTTGTCGAACTGACGCTTTTCAAGGAACCAGCGTTCCCTCCAGCCATCGTGTGAAACGTTCTTTTCTGTTGTTTGCTCGCAGGCGAGATTGTGCAGAAACCATCGTGGGGAAAGGATCAGCCAAACAATTACAACGGCGAGCAAAATTGCGTGGTGCTGGACGGTGGACGTAGCTGGCTGTGGAACGACGTTGGCTGCAATCTCGACTATCTGCATTGGATATGTCAAAGCAGTGAGTAACGATATCGATGCGCTTGCGTATGTATCAGCTGTGTGCAACGAATCTGTTCAAACTGTTTAGGACCACCTACTTGCGGCAGTCCGGAGAAATCCGAGAACACAACGATCACGGGGACCAAACGGACCATAGGGTCTACGATAGATTACGTTTGCCCCGATGGTTGCATGTTGATAGGATCAAAGAGCAGAACGTGCGAGTCGAGCGGATTTTGGAGCGGCGAGCCGGCCACGTGCAAATGTAAGCTTTAATCGCATGCGTGTCGCCACGCGTGCTGCATAATTGCTCAGACAATGACGATGTAGTTGGTAATCGGTGACCGTCTCGCGCATACTGAAAGCATACCGTCTTTCGAACGCTTGCAGTCGTCGACTGCGGCCCTCTACCCAATCTGGAGAATGGCGTGATTACCCTGGTCGACGAGAGAACGACTTACGGAGCGTTTGCTGATTACGCGTGTAAGGAGAACTACACGTTGCTCGGTGACGCCAGGCGGAGATGCGGAGACGGCGGTATTTGGAGTGGACATCATTCCCAGTGTCTATGTGCGAGATCTCTACATAATTTATCGTAGCGATGTTTATATATAATTTCTATAAAATGTTATAATATAATTAATTTAATAATACAGTAATTAATATCACTCATATTTTAACTAATTATATTAATTATTGTAATTATATTATATTGTAACTCTATATAATTTCTATAAAATGTTATAACATAACATTATAATATAACATTTTATAGAAATTATATAGAGTTACAATATAATATAATTAAAATATGAATAATATTAATTATTGTATTATTGAGTTAATTATTATATTATAATATTTTATATAAATTATATATATTTACAATGTAACAGTTATATTTAGATTCGATAGATAGTTAATAGATTAGACATTTAGATAGATAGTACATTTATAATATAATATTGCAAATAACAACATAATATAGTTTTTATAAAATATTTGTTATTTCATAGTTGACTGGTGTCCGGAGCCACCTCAGATTAATGGTGGAGTTGTGACGACTACCGGAAGGAGAGCAGGCTCAACAGCCAGTTACTCCTGTCAAAATGGCTTCATTCTATTCGGAGACAACGTAAGCAACTTTCCTCCCATTTGTTATGCTCGGGTCGTAAAAACTGTTTCAAAATTCTATTTACATAGGCACTGCGATTACAACGCGGTATTGTTTCATAAAGTCGCCCAATGATTCGCGCAATCTTATGTTTATTAAGCGATTAATTATGAGAACGGGATATTAAACATTGATAATCAATTTCGAAAGGTTCTTACGTGCGACGTCGGCGGAGAATGGTCGGGCAAAGCGCCTCAGTGCAGATTCGTCGATTGCGGGGCACCGGCTCAAATCGAATTCGGCTCGGTGACCCTAATTAATGGCACCACCACGGTTAAAAGTTTGGCCGTGTACACTTGCCTGGAGGACTACTGGCTGGTCGGCGAAGCGAGGCAAGAATGCACCAAAGAAGGCAAATGGAGCAACGATACGCCGTCGTGCGAATGTAAACAGAAATCGAATTCTTTCGCAAAGAAATGAACTTACTGTGTGTAACGATTGACAACTCGATTATTTCGATTGATGCAGTAATCACCTGCGAGGAGCCTGAGGTGCCGGCTGGAAGCTACGTCGTCGGGTACGATTTGAACGTTCACAGTGCCATTGAATACCACTGCGAAGCAGGATACCTACTTCAAGGCGAAAGCAGGCACACTTGCGGCAGGGACGGTGAATGGTCGGGAGAAGTGCCCACCTGCGAGTGTAAGTTTCCATGTTATTAACTAGAATTACCACACCAGTCACAATATTCTATTATTACGTATTTTTTAATGACCAGAGTCATTTTGACTGGTTTTGGTAGAAATAACTTTTGTCTAAGTATTATTAGGTAGTTCTAGTGTTAACGTCATTAGGAATTCCTTTCAAAGTTACTTATCTTCAGATTAATGGACGCGTTGGTAAAGGTCTCCACACGATGACCTTCTCATCTTTTTATTTCGTAGACGTGGACTGCGGGAAAGTTCTGCCTGTGTTGAACGGAGCGGCAGAATACGTGAATGGAACGACGCATCTCGGAAGCGAAATCACTTACAGCTGCACGAGGAACTATAGGCTAAATGGAGTATCGAGGAGATACTGCTTGGACAATGGCCAATGGAGCGACGCGACCCCAAAGTGCGAAGGTGTGTTTAAAATTTCTTTTAACACTAACGGTATCGGTATTTTACATATACCTATTCTTACCGTAGCTGAAATAAATGTTTTTTTTTGGAAGGAATTGTTAATTTATTGTAAAAAATAATGCACAACATAACTTTTAAATAATAATGTGATAACCAATCATATATTTTCATTTTTATATTTATCATACACGGGACATAAATATAACAGAATATAACATAAAACAGAAGATCATAGGGGCAGCGTTTGCTTCATTTAGAAATAAATGAAGGATATTTTTGTTCTCTTAATTGCATTTTTTGCAGGTGAAAGGCTTCCTCTTCATACATTTACTGCAGACATATTTTTTACAAATCATGCAAGATTTAATTGTTTTATTATCTTTGCAAAATTAATCAGATGATCTAAGAGTTTACATAAAGTTAAATGAACAAAAGATATGTAACATGTAATAAATGTATAATTTTTAATTAAATTTTGAAATCGGTCATTTGACCGGGCTTGGTACGGTCAGTGTTAAATCAGATATGTACGATCTAGTTCCTTTTGACATTTGGACTTTTCTTCTCAGAGATTCGATGTCCGGAGCCTATTTACGCGGAGCACGGGATCCTCTCTGTGACTGGCAACGATCGAATGTACGGTAGAACTCTTATCCGGACAGGAACGCCGGAGAATTCTAATACCGGGGCGACTTCCTACAAGATAGGTGCACTTGCGAAATATCGTTGTGAAAGGGGATACAAGGTTGTCGGCGAACCTCTATCCACTTGCGAGGACAACGGGAAATGGAGCGGCGAGGTTCCTCGATGCGTGTGTAAGAAACGAAGGAAATTCTAGCACTTACGCGATTGCAAAGTATTTGATCTGAGCGAGTGCATCTTTCAGATGTCGATTGTGGGAAACCGGAACACATTCAACATGGAAGATACACTCTAACGTCAAACGCAACTTATTATGGAGCAGCTGCTCTTTACGAGTGTGACAATAATTTCGAATTGGATGGATTTGCCAGAAGGCTGTGTCTCGAGAATGGTACATGGAGCAGCGATACTCCAGTTTGCAAAGGTAATTGTCGGGGCTAGAGTTTAATTTCAAATTAGAGAGGTAAATATACGTTTCAAAATACGAGATAATTGTTCTATAATAAGAAATGTAATTGCGTTATGAGGGTAATGGCAATTTTTATCAAAAAGCTTTACATACATCTTCTAAGACGCTGTGTAAATGTCGTGCTTTCTTTGCGTTATATCCATTCGCACTGTTTGTATACAGAAATTAGATGCAAGAATCCTGAAAGAGACGGGGTGTTATCTACGCAAATTTCAACTCACAGCGTGGGCGGAGTGGCTCACTATAGTTGCCCGCGTGGATTCTACATGGAAGGGAATGAAACTAGAGTATGTTTGCAAAATGGATCCTGGAGTGGTAGCACGCCGGCTTGTTTCTGTAATTATGCAACTTTGATCTTCCATAAATAATTCAATATATGGCCAGTTTAAAATATGAAGTCGCGAAATTTTTATTTATATTTAATAGCGGTCGATTGCAAACATCCAGAAGCTATAGAAAATGGTAGAGTGATAGTGGTAAACGGAACCACTACTTACGGGGGGACCGCAGAATATCACTGTCTACCGCAATACGAAAGAGTGGGACCGTTTTTGAGGAAATGTTTAGACACTGGTTCATGGAGTGGAGAGGAACCTAAATGCGAATGTAAGACAAACGTGAACATACATGTTAAAAATATGTTCGACATTTTCATCAATCAGTGTCTGTTATTCAACAGTTGCGCCGAATGAAGTAGCAGAAACGCAGGGCGTAGGTACCAGCGTTGGCATTGGAGCTGGAGTTATAATATTTATACTGATCATTCTTGGACTCGTGTATCTAAGACTGTAAGACCGTAAAATTTACGAAAAACATGATTACGAAAGTTGAAAATTGTTAAATAAAAGTTTCACAAACGTATCTTTTTAGGAGAAAAGCTACGCCCGTAAAAAACACCGAAAACGTTCAAGCAGCTGAAAGAAAAGAAGACCAAAACGCTGCTGTTATGTCTTACGCCACTCTCAACGATGGCACACCTAACACAATGTACGAAAACGTTCCAGAGGACGGTCTTTACGATAGTCCTTACAGTCTAAGCGGCAGTACGTACGGGTGAGTGAAAAGAAACGATCTTTTTAGGGATTTTGTCTCGTCGAAAAGAACGAAATTGGTAAATTGTTTTATTGAATTGAAGGTACGGCACTAATATGAGAAGACATTACGGTAGATCAGGACATTACGAGGCGGAACCAGTTTCAAACAGAAATGGCATTACAATTAACGGAGTGTCTGTACGATAGTTGAAAATACAATCGTTAGAATTTGTGTTCTTCAGAGTCAGATGTTATTTATGTACAGGAGTATATAAGTTTTAAGCGAAGCTTTGTTATCCTTATTTATATTATTGTATTCGGCGCGTCGCCGATGTATGTAAATAAGTAAAGAGAAACTGCGTGATAACGAAGAGTCTACGAGAAAGTTGCGTCAATTTTTTTTCATACCAATGACGTGTAACGAACGTATTAATTACATACTATTATTACTTTGACAATTTAATCCGTGTACTATTATGTATATAGCGTGTTTTCCTAATTTAGAATTATCTGTAAACGACGAATTTATAATATTAAATTCGTATGTTCATTGGTTATGAAAATAAAGAAACCAATGTTCTTGTTTTACTTCATATTTTATTATATTTTTACAGGAACCATAGAAAATGTAGTTAACACCTTCGCTTTTGTTAACACCTTCTATTAAAATTAATGTGTTTGTACTATAGCTTTATTTATCACATATATTGTAAATACAATTACGAAATGAATGTCAACTATATCGGATTCTTTCATCGCCTTATAAGGCAATGATTTCTCCATCAACAGTTTACTCCAAGTAGGGTATCTGTAACGACGTATCCTTTCGATATATTAAATCGATATATTTTGTAATATAATATAATATAAAATCCAATTTTTATTACACAATACTAACTTATTATTTGAGTAAGTTAATTTTTTAAATATGAAATAAAATTTCAAGATATCAAAATCAGTGATGTTTTGAAAATGAGATTATCATCAAGCTAACAGGCATTTTCGAAATTTAAAATAATAATGTTCAAGGTGAGGGAAAAATCGATCACTCTATTTTTCCTTTTTTTTTCTTGTTACAATGTGGCCTAATTTTTGGATATGCCTAGAAAAGGCTCGTGCAATGGATAAATGATCCTTCACCAGATGGCGCTACGTGCCCGGGTGTGGTGAATAACCATAGAGTGACGCGTAACGTGAGTCACAGTGGTGCACGAGTGTCTGTGCTGTACGTTATCTGGCGTTTTCTTCTCAGTTCGAAGCTGCTGTTAATCAGGTTGGTAGAAATTCGTTTATTTGTTTTAACGTTTCGATAGAAAAGTTTCATAATGGTTGATTTACGGATACGGGGACAATTTGAGAGATACGAAATATTTGACAGCAAACCCAGTTTACCTATGAGAACGGCCATTGTTATTGTGTCGTCGCTCCGAATGATATGCAAACGATGCAAATTCCTTGTCAATCTATGTAATTTCAGAAAACAATTTTTCTATCCTTTGTCGTTGAAAACAGCGATATTTTTTCATATTTTTTTATATAATCTTACGAGAGTTGAGATTGATAAAATATAAGTGTTTCGACTGTATTCGATAAATGTTTATCGAAATTTAGTCGGTTCGTACAAGCAGCTGAATAAAAATTCCGAAACTAAATGTTGAGATTTATGTTTCATTAAAAAGAAAAAACTTAAAAATATAAAAGCAACGTTTGGAAACGTAAGATGTAATATTTTTACAAGTAACAAATAAGTAAGTATATCTTAACAAATATATTTTATAAATAATTTTTTTTATTAAATTATCGTATAAAAGTCAAATTGGACTGTAAATCGGATAAGTATTTTTATATAGATTTCTATAGATGTAAAGTGTAATGTCCTCTTTATTGAGCCGTTACGTAGACGATCTTATTTTTATCTTGATTTTCGTTACGTCGTGATATCCTAAATTAATTGTCTAAAAATAAATAGTAGACTGTCTTTTAAATACGTCTAATGGCTATTATTTTTTTTTCCGAACACTGTTCTAGTTCAACGCGAGAAAATAGCAATCAAATTTACATAACCTCTACTTCACTTGCGCGTGAAACGTCCCTATGAATTAAAAGTTTTATAAAAAAAAAAAGAAAAATATAACAAATAATAATAAATACATACTTACAAAAGATACGATTTTAGCATTATAATTGATTGTTTATTCGTAATTTCAGGAATACAAACATGTCTTCGCGCAAAACAGCCGGACGCCGTGCGACAACTAAAAAGCGTGCACAACGCGCAACATCAAACGTCTTTGCGATGTTTGATCAAGCCCAGATCGCTGAATTTAAAGAAGCTTTCAACATGATCGACCAAAATCACGATGGTTTCATCGATAAGGAAGATCTTCACGACATGCTTGCCTCACTCGGTAAGATAGTGAAACGTTATTTATCGCATTACGGAAATTTTTTAAATTTTACGCGCTCACAGAGGATAATTGACTTTTGTTTTAGGTAAAAATCCCACTGACGAATATTTGGAGGCAATGATGAACGAGGCTCCAGGACCCATCAATTTCACGATGTTTTTAACTTTATTCGGCGAAAGACTTCAAGGTACCGATCCGGAAGATGTGATTAAAAACGCCTTTGGCTGCTTCGATGAGGAAAATACTGGACACATAAACGAGGAACGTCTGCGAGAATTACTTACAACGATGGGAGACAGGTAATTCACACCAATTTTACATATTAATATTCTTTATTACTTTATCGAAACGTACAAGCAACTCATCGTTACTTCTTGCACATCTAGATTTACGGATGACGATGTGGACGAAATGTATCGGGAAGCACCCATCAAAGGATCGATGTTTGACTACATAGAATTCACGCGAATTTTAAAGCACGGTGCTAAAGACAAGGACGAACAGTGAAAAATTTATGACCGCCCGTTTCTTCTGTTTGCGTGATTGAGGCGTGCTACACGCTTCAATATGGTTGCAATTGTAAAGTTTGAAATATCACTTGTATTTTGTATATCCTCTATTAATGAGAATAACCGAAAATGTAGGATTTATATTATTTTTCTGAACAACTGCCTTACCTCTAGGTCCTAAGTGTACAAGCCAACAGAGCCACATAGGCATTCGGAATATTTATTTCAAACTAAAAATGTTTGCGTACAAACTACGGATAGAGAGGAAAGTTGTAATATCACGTTGTAATACAAATTACAATCGATAAAAACAAAAATCTCAATATGTAATATATATATATTGTGTATTATATTAACACATAGTTGTTAAAGAGTTGGCATTTATATTTTAATATAATAATGAATTATACACCAAATACATTCTACTTGATTGTCACATCCAGCGAGAATGAAAGTCAACGTTCGATGTTTAAGATATTGTAACCGTGATCCACTGCTGTTTATTGCCACTAGTAAACGAGATAGGAAGAAATAAACATTGACAGACTATCTGGCCTTTGTTCGAACTGACGCGATACGAAAAATGCTTTGAAAGTTCAATAAACCTTATATCTGTGCAACGAATAAATAACAGAGGGCCGAAATGTTAGAAATAAACAGAAAAAGCCGCGTCGATCCACTCGAAGAAAAGGTAGGATCGACGAAGGGAAGCTTTCGGTAGCTGACAGGCGCGATTATTCTGCGTCTGCGCGCTAGTGTTTATGTACAGTATATACAGAATGAAGTCTCACGAAGCCGCAGTATCATTTCCAGTGGTGCGAGTGTGGGGTTCGTTTCGTCTCTTGGTCTCGTCCGTTCCTGTCGTTCGCGGTGGTTCTCCCAGTCGCGTCTCTGGCTCGGTGGTTGTCCCATTCGAGTATAAATACCGAGATTGAATACCTGCATGGATACCCGTGACTAACTGAAGTGTTCAACGAAGCTGTTTATCGGCTTTCGCCGATCTCCCCGCAAAAGAGGACCGAATTTTTTGATCGTCCGATCGGCGGAATGTCGCTCGATCATTCGCTGGCCGTATAACACGATATGTTTACTGTTTCGGTGAACCTTCGGTGTATCTGTATCTCTGGCTGTACCCGAGTGTGAGTGAACGTCTTAAAATCGAAGCAACTCGGTAAGAGAGATGAGACGGGAGACAGAGGCAGAGGCTGAGGCTGCCAGCCGCGAATTGGGTTACGTCCCGTTCGCCTGGCAACGATATATGACGCAACGGCCACCCTTCGTTGGTATCCACGATCCTCGTGATCTTTACGTGCCGCTCTAACTGCAACAAGACTTTGCGTCCCGAGAGTGGCAAGGCACGCGAAAACGAAACGCCAACTACGCTCCATGCGACCAGTTGTATCCCCGCCCCGTTTGCTCGATTGCGCAGCTAGTTTTGGAGGTTAGCCGATCACGATTAAGAAACTTGAACGAAAGCGACACCCGCAAAGCCAGCCAGATCAGCTGTTTCCCCAGGACGACCTTTCGACTACCCTCTCGGTGAGTCTGCTCTCTCAGCTCGAACGGGGTTCTATCATCCCCCGTTATCATCCCTCGAGCGATTAATTATTTTTTTCGTTACGAATTCGCTTCTCGTCGGTCGTGAATTACCCCGATATTTTTTTAATGGCGATGAACATGGAACGATATGTATATACGTATACGCGTATCTCTCTCTCTCTCTCTCTCTCTTCAACGACGCGAAATATTTGAAACAAGATTTCTAAATTAATAGTGGATTAATGGATTAACGACGTTCGAAGCAAATATACATATGTAGCACACGATCGCCGATGAAAACGAAAGAAAGCTTGCTGTCGGTCGCGCGTCTCGTTGTAAATGGCTTCTTTATTTTGAAACGATAATTACTAAAGGACGACATAGTCAATGGCATTCGTTCATGGCTGGGAACCTTGGTCTCTCGGCGCTAAAGTACCGTGGGCTCGCAATTCAGAACGCGATTCAGAAACGCAAACGACGCGACGAGTTTTCTTGAACCACGTATAACGAGATAATAATAAGTGTACAACCGTATGCTCCCCGAGTGCGCTGCACGTACTCGGTGTGTAATATAACCCAATGCTCAAACTGGTCATATCACTTTTGATGTTGCATAACGGGCTCGTACAACTGCGTTAGAATATTAATACACACAAAAGCGTAACGAGTCTTGAAATTAAAA